AACTAAAGGAAGAGGACACAAGGCATACAAGGGATACATCGCCATTTTTGTTATGTTTTGCGACCAAGAAGAAGTCGTAAGCGACATATCATCCGACACCTTTTTGGCAGCCTTCCGACGCTTCATCTCACGAAGAGGACGCTGTGCACATCTCTATAGTGATAACGGCACCAATTTCGTCGGTGCAAGCAAAATCCTTCAAGAAGAAATAGTCACGACCATCCAGAACTCCAATGTTCAAGACGAGCTATATCAGTGGGAACACAGTGGCATTTCATACCCCCAGGAGCACCACACTTTGGCGGGCTATGGGAGGCGGCAGTCAAATCTGTGAAGTACCATCTGCGAAGAGTTGTTGGAGAGACCCGTTTGACATACGAAGAAATGACAACACTCATGCACCAGATCGAAAGCTGCTTGAATTCTCGACCACTGTATGCAATGACAAATGATCCGAGTGATCTAGATGTGCTAACTTCTGGTCACTTTCTAATTGGGAGATCTATAGTAGAACCTCTGGATCCAGTCTCGACAGCCATCACATCAGTCTTACCGAGAGATGGAGGTTGGCACAAAAATTAAAAAAGATTTTTGGAAAAAATGGACGTCCGACTACTTACATCAGCTACAGCAACACTACAAATCAACAGAATAACCCACGAGTAGGAGATCTTATGATTATTAGAAAGCAAGACATCAACCCTAGCAAATGGCCCCTCGGTATAATAACGGAAATCCACCCATCACAAGACGATAACATGGTGCGAGTGGTCACTCTAAAAAAGGCAGAAGGAGGCCCTACAAAACGGCCCATACATAAACTAATCCCTATTCCAACAGAGAAGGATGACTTAGAAGCAATGAGACTCGAACGAAGCCAGCCATCCCACTCAAAGAATTACAGGAAGACTTGGAGAATAGTAATTTCGGCACTGATATTTATGTTCGCCTTAAGAAATACTTCAGCCCAGAAATATGAGATACATTATCCTCCTGCAGGCCTCTATGTAGAGCACATTGGACACACAAAGATAGGTAGGGGGACCTTTAGAATGGAACTCCGATTCAACAAGTCTAGGATATTGAATGACACCATCAACATACAGTCTTCAATTCAGCAAGTTTCGTCCCTTTGTGAGAGGGCCAGAGAATTAGCATCTAACACGGAATGTTCATCGCTAATTCAACACCTGCAAGAGAAACAGCAACACTTCGAGTGGATGAACAGAGGGATGCAGAACGTGATCACTAATCGTAATAAGCAAGGATTTATGGGAAAATTACTCACATCAGTATTTGGAGTCAACGATGAAGTCTACGCAGACATTGAAGAATTAGAGAAAAATCAAAAGGAACTCATCAAGACCTCTTATCACCAAGCAAAGTTTATGCTTCATGCTCTGGCTACATTTAACCAGACAGAGATACGAATCAGCAATCAGCTAGAAAGATTCAGGAAGAAACTCAATGAAGGCATTAAAGCAATAAATGACATGCAGAGCTTGACGAAAACAAACTTAACATTCATTTATTGAGTGCGTACCAAATCGTGGCAAATTACATAGATGAAGTCACTGATTATCATCAAAAACCTTTAGACATCCATTATCACCGTGGACATCTATTTGAAGTCATATCTCCAACTCACGTTGAGGAAACCATAGCGTCAGCCAACAAGAAACTTCCAACAAACATCAAGATATTCTCGTATCCAATCCTAAAGACCCAAGTTCAGCACAGCAAGGACTTCATCCACATCTTTGGATACTTCATCATTACGGAAACTAACGAATTTTTGCTCATCAAGGCAACACCAATTCCAACAAAAATAACAAAAGAAGCCTACTGGATACTCGATGTGCCAAAAGAATTCATTGCAATAGACTACAATTCACAATTATACTTCCAGCTCAGTGATGCTGAGCTAAGAAATTGCATTCATCTGCTCACCGACTACGACTCGAAACATTGAAGCCACCCCCAACTGCATAATCGATGAAGTCTATCAGCGATCGCAAAATATGTCGTGCACACTGCGAAGGAAGACCTTGATATCTAGTATCATATGGAAGCGTTTGAATACACCCAATGTTTGGATGATTATTAGCGCTGATCAACTTAAGGTGGCAATCATCTGTGATGGCATTCGTGAAGATGTGAACTGCATCATCAAGACCAATAAAAACATTTTGACTCCAAAAAGAGCAGAATCAGTCATTGTTTTGGCATACATGACACAACCGATCAACCCAAACACAACAGATACTTCCGTTGTCAATATCGGGCACGATATTCTAGAAGAACCAGTTCTAGAAGCCTCAGCATCTCTAGATAAAATCAAAGAGGAAGAGTCAGATATTCAACAGCAACTACAAGAAACCCATTGAGCTTCCATACACCACCTGGCAGTATTCAGCACTGTTACATCGAGTATACTTATCACCATCACATTCTTAGCACTCTTGGGATATCTTGCGTGTCGGAAACACAAGTCGAAAAACGTCAAGAAGACCACTTCAACGGAATACCTTTGGAACCTCTCCGAAATTTCACCAGCAACCACGAAACTGACACCGTTACTAGCTAACCAACACTGCGGGCGGCCAGAATGTCTAATCTTGAAAAGTAGCCAAAATTAGCCCAGTTTGGAATTATTGACCCGCAGTGACGCAACCATTTTTATACAAACAATTTTACATTATTGTTATTAATTAACTAGTAGGTTTGAAAATTGCAGTAATCCTGATCGACGCAATAATGCTTATACAAACAACTCCTGGTGGAAAAAAAGCACAAATTCATCGGGTTAACAAACTGCAGAATCATCACATAGTTCCAAATTACGTATTATAATTAACAATAACTTTTTTATATAAATGGCGGCTCATTTCAATTAATAAATCAGTATAAAACCTCTTCTGGTATATTACTCACAAACTACACCCAAGCCTATATCCAGAGTGTGAGGCTGCACTCTTCACAGTTGTCACCTCTAGCAGGGCACTGTGAATATACCTAGTGACAGCAAGGTAACCTTAGTCAAGAGGGCCTTATTGTCAAAAATTACTAAGAGGTTATTCCCATATCAAAAAGGAATCCTTTACATGGTCCTTCGAGCAAAAAGTTGAACAGAAGAAAAGGATTACTCCCTTGACAAAAGGGAGTTACAGTGAAATTACCAACGAGCGGTTCAATCAGCCACCGACAACAACAGCCCCATCAAGGACACACCGACGGATCACGTGCACCCCCCACTGTCGTCCATCCTCAACCTTAAAAGAACTTCAACTCCAATCCAACTAAGAGGTTATTCCCATATCAAAAGGGAATCCTTTTCACTGCCTAATGTTCAAAGACAACATGATATAGTTATTAACGTTATAAGGCCGATAAATAGCAAACGGCCGAGACTGAAGTTTGGAATATGAGGCGGTAGTCGAGGATTATAAACTGATTTTAATCCTCGAGGTTGTTATTTTTCAATTTTACATATCAAAGCGTGCTTTTATTAGGAAAATGTACGTCGCATAATTGTTTCTTTATTGGTCAGGATTTTTGACATGACGTTTTGACATTAAAGTTCATTGAAAAAATTAGAGAAAAATATTGCTAAGACATACGTTCAAAGAACCATTAATCTTTGATTGTTTTTTTTTTTGAAGACCCGTTAGAACTTTGATTATAGTACCACTTGCAAGTTGGAACATTAAAGAAACATTGTGAAAAAAAAAACAGAAAACATTAAATAGCTTGAACAACCTCTATGGGATAAACAACATGGTCTTACTTATGTCAAAACAAACTAATTTAGGTTCAGGTTCAAAAATTGAAATAATTAGGGCAAAGAGAATTTGTGGGTTAAGGACGAAAAATACCCTAAAACGCCTCGGTTTCGATGTTCGTGAAACACCCTGTATGCAGTATTGCATCTTGAGCCTTTTGACTTGGAAACTTCTGTTATATAAAGAGACTTAATGAAACCTTCGCGAATTTATAAGTAAGGAAGTTTTATTCCAATTCGTCCTCAATCCAAAACTTCTCTCTACCATAACTAATACTTTGGTGGACACTATATTTTCACCAAATTAAAATGATACAATCAATTAAAAGCCAAGAATATTCATGGAATTTTGAAACTACAAATACCAATACATCACCACACAATACTTTAAAACTTAGTCAATGAAGGTTCTTGTGGAAAAGTCAATGGAATATATATTAAAGGAACCACTAATGTTAGTTTTTGTACACTTTGAATGAAGACGCTATCAACTTCGAAGATCAGAAAAAACTTTTGAAAGCACTCGAAATATGTGGCAATACATAGATCATAGAGCACTGAAGTTCTGCAAAAATTAATTATACATATTTATAGAACAGCAACGACAAAGGTGAAAATATCAGACACGACAAACACAAGGAAATTCAAAATATAGACCAAGACAAGAAAATGTCCACTCACATAAATTATCTGTCACACCGCTGCAAAGCATGCTCAATGGCTTGAACTGGGAGGACACGGCAGTGAACATCGATGAAGACAAAATACTTTCGTTTGCCGCTGATACTGTTCTAGTGGCAGACAACTTTCAAAGAATACAGTTGAATGCCAGAGTCAAAAAATTGCATGACCAACTATGACCAAGAATGACCCAAATTAAGTTCACAGTTTATTACAATTAAATAATGCAGGTTAGCAACACTGCTTGATGTTGCAAGCAATGAAGTAGTAAGAAGGTTGGAATAGCCCTTTGCCTATCAACTCAATACATATATTTGCGGCCAACATTAGAGTGAGAGATAAGAGAAATCCATGAGATTTTCTTGCCCTTACTAGCGCTATCTCATTCTGGAATCAATTGGATGACGCAAAGTTCATTCCATACCTCTTTCTACTTCATTGGTTGCAAGTCGATATGCAATAATGCAACTAATGTCAAAAACCAGGGGGCAAAACATACATTTTTACCAACAAATAAACGATAAAAAATCTCAATTACCTTTTTTGGTTTTGTTTCTCTCCTGATAGGAGGCGGGATACTCTTCGCTGGAACCTCAGGTTTATCCTCATGTTCTTCAAAAATAGTATTCTTATTGTCGTAAGAAATCAGCTCCTTTTTCTTTTTCTCTCTTGCTTCCAATAACAATCTATTCTTCTCTTCTTCGATAGTCCTTCTAATTTCAGAGATGAACGGCTTATCATCTACATCCGCCGCAAATTCATCTTTATTAAATTGCGGCAAAATGGGAGCTTCACTGGTATCATCGTCTACATCTTTATCTGATTCCATTGAAGTACTTTCTTCTAGTTCTTCAATTGAATGCATTTTCAAAGGCATTATTGGCACATTTTGATCTGGTTCTGGGTAAGAGATACTATCTAACTCAAGCAATTCATCAATATCTTCATTGTTTCTTATAAAATTTATATGAACATTTGTCACCGTGCCAGGGTAGCTATCCAAAAATTCTTTGAAACCTCCATTTAAGACTACTGGGTGTTGCTTATAGGAACGTAACAAATCCCATTCTACAACAGAATCAATTATATATTTTAATTTCGAGAATGTCATATTGTCACAGTTGGAATTCCAGTCTAAGAAAACTATGGCGTCGAAAGTGTCTCGTTTATCCCATAATTTTTGTGTTTCATCTTTTAGTTTCTGTCCTAAAACATTTGCTGATAGACCGGCCCCAATAAGTTCCTCAGATATATTTATGATATTTTCAAATTTAATTTTTGATTCTGCATATTCATTCGCTGGTCTTATATCGACTATTAGAATGTTAGCGTTTTCATGGATAGCTTCAAATAAATCTTTAACAGAAATACTTTTATCAGGGAATAATTTTTTAGTTACATTCAGTTTTAGCTCCAAATCTTTGTTGAAGATTTTCTTGTTTGATACAGCTTTCTTCACTGACAATTGCTCTAACTGATATCGTTTTAGTAATTCGGGCCTTAATTCTTCTAACCGATCGCTAACTCTAGCAATTTCGTGGGCGTAAATTGCATTAACGTAATTGCCATCGGCTATCCTACAGAGAGTATTGATACAATACAAATATCTGAGGCAGTGGATATAACATTTCTCTTGGTCGGATGTCTCTCTGATAATTTCCTGATATAAATTTTTCATTGCTTTTTCTAATGATTTCGGATTCTTTCCTAGTTTTTCCGGGTAAGCGAGTTTATTAAGGTCTTTTATATTGTTGGCTATGTGTAACTCTGTGATTCCTTCCATTTTGCTCCCACCAAAATCTGAAAATAAAATAAATGTTTTTTTGTAGTTTTAACAATAATGAGTTACAGCATAGCAATGGTTTAAAGCCGATGAAATTCATTAATTACCAGAAGCAGTTTTGAAAATTTACATGTAAAAGTTATCAGTAGTAATATAACGAGTGCATTAAAAATTATCGATAACTTTTTAGGATTTTTTTTTTCTTCCTGGATGCACCTTTATGATTTCAAAAATTAAGGAAATTTTGCAAATTTCAGCGTTCTGAAGAATTCTAAAAAGCGTATGACAAAAAAATAGTGTTTGTCACACGTACCTAAAGAAGTTTTTCAGGACTCATCTGCTATTCCGGAATCGGCTAACGCCTCGTCCGGAAACAGAAATGACCCGACCTGAAAAACTTCATTTTAGGTACTTGTGACAAAAATAACTATTTCGTGTTTTTTTACACCCATTACGCGATAACTCCGGAACTAATAAACTTATCAACATGTTTTTTTTTTAATCGGTAGAGGACATATAGGCGGTGATAACTGTGATAGTTTAAATTCCATAGTGCCTGTATTTTTTTTTTTTGGAAAATGGATTGAACTTCAAATCGTACTTTAATTGCAGCATGTTTTTCGGTAAGCGAGAAACTTTTTTATTTGAGCGAATTTTGTCATAGTGTCTGCGTATGATATGACGACAAAGTATCAAAAAAGTTTAAAAAAAAAAAAATCAAGCATCTGTAACAAATAGTTTTCTAGTTATCCTCGATTGAAGTTATGAATATCCAGAGCATGCGATGTACCTGCTTGTCGGCGACGCCGGAAGCACGGGCGGACGTTGAGATGGTTCACCCCTATTATATTTTGTAAAGCAGGGTGGAACGAAAGATTCGTCAATCACACGATAGATGGTTGACGGAAGTGACAGTCAGTGACGGGAAAGGTCAGAGAGAAAAAGAGTCACGGTCTTTCTTAAAGCTCTAGCTCTGATTGTTCATCTGTATTTGGTATTAATATAACGTTTTATTGTTCCGTTCTCGTGTTGAATTTATCCACGACCCATATTCGGTGTTGAGCTGTTTCATTGGCGCCCAACGTGGGGCACGAGGCGAAGAAAATTGAAAAAAAATATTTTGAACCAGATAAAGCGGGTAAGCTCGTTCTGATTACTTATTGGCAAGCTGAATATTCAACGGAGGCTGCGCGCAGACATCGTTTCCGTTCTGAGCTGCGGTGAACCAGGATATTCAATTCAATTTTAATTTTTTTTATTTTGACATTGACAACGAAGTTGGTAGTCAGGTCGATAGGAATCGATATTAATTATTAGAGACTAGTTTCTCGATTCACGAGTCATTTGGAGAAGTTATTTATTTGTACAGCCTCTAGACTGCGTATACTGGTGTACTTAACTAAATTACATTTAGTTATTGCTAAGATTGTACGCTTTGGTCTTGCAATGTTGTGCGGTGTCGTTTAATTTGTAAATGATATTTAATTATACATAAAATGACACCCAGAAAAGTGAAAAGTAAAAATAGAAAGTCTGATTCTCGGTACGATTTAGACCAAGATAGTGCGGACGATTCCCAACCAACTGTGTCGATCCGCGCGAACAGTGCACATACCGATAGACTTAGTATGGTTCTCGATAAAATAGTGACCGATATCGATAAGTTGCAGCGAGCGGTAGACGATTTGACGGTGAAACAAAACAGTCAAAACGTGAGCGTGTGTGAAAATCTACCCCAAGTTGCTACGGTACGCGAAGAAATTAAAAAAGATAAACCAAACATTATAGATAGATCATACATTTTAAATTTTAAGGAATTGGGGGGTAATAATCTATATTTCTCTCCTACGGGAAAAATGAATCCTAATGCTTTTTTGAGAAAAATAACGAAAATTTTTGACGAGGCGGGCGTACCGGATAGACACAAATTGGGTTTAGTTTTACTATGTTTGAAAGGTACAGCAGCGGACTGGGCAGCGATTAAAGAAAATACATTCATGGACTTCCACGATTTCGAAGTGGCCTTCATCAATAGATTTTGGGGGGTTGACAAGCAACGAGATCTGTTTTTAGAAATCAGTTACGGGAAATTTGAGTCAGGCAATCGTTCTGAATATTTCTTAAATCTTTTCAACCAGGCTGGTTTTTTATCAACTCCAATCCCAGAACACAAATTAATATCGCTCATAAGTAGACACTTTTCGGCTGATATTCAACGAGGCATCGTGACCAGAGGTCTTAAAACGTTTGATGAAATCGATGAGTATCTTCGCGATATCGATGCGACATACGAGGACGACGGCGACCGCGGGAATCATTTTCGAAGTAATCGTACAGCGTTGCAGAGGCAGCCTTCAAATATTCACGCCTCAGGGAACCGTGGTAATTTGGGGCAAAACAATAATAATTGGCGACGACAGAGTCAAATTTCGAATGAGAGGAATTCCGAGGTGGTCGATGCTAGGGTTGATAGGCATAATATGCGCTCGATGGGAACGACGCGTTTTAATGAGGAATTTCATTTTTCTAGCGAATCAGAGAGTGAGAATGAGGGCGAATTTTCGGTATGCAAACCAATAATAAAATCGCCGGTTATAAAAGCCGTGGTTTGCGAAGTTGACGTGGAAATTTTAATAGATAGCGGAAGTGAAATAACCGCGGTTTCGGAAACTTTTTTTCAAATCTATTTCGAGGGTATCAAAGGTACCTGTTTTACCGGTCTCAAATGTAGCGATTACAGTTGCAATTGGGGGTAAACAACAGAGGGTAAAAACGCAAGTGCTTATTAGCGTGTATGTCCCAGTGGCGAACGTTAACCTTGACGTAAAATGTTTAGTGATACCGGAATTAAATCGAGATATTTTGTTTGGGTTTGATTGGTTATTACAGTTTAAAGCTAATATCGATTTTAATAAATCCTTAATCGCGTTTTACGTAAATAAAACCGAGTACGTGGTTGAATACAGTAAAAATGAGACGAACTTTTTGGATGAACGCAGCCTTAATTTATGTAGCAATGCTACGACTATTTCAGTCGAGCACCAAGGCAATGATATCGTATCTAAACGTAAGTATAGTGAAAATGACATGCGTGCAGTTGCCGATGCAGCTAGCGCTTGTGAATCCGATAAAAATCACTTATTCAATCTTTTAAAGGAATTTCAACCGATATTCTCTGAATGTCCGGGTTTTATAAAGTCATATCGACACGAAATAGTTATGACTGACGCTAGCCCGTTTTATTGCCCAGCATACCCCATTCCTTTTGCGTATAGAAGCGAAGTAAAGTCTCAAATTATTGAAATGCTTAATTGGGGTATAATTTCGAAGGAAAAACATGTTATATTTCACCCTTGGTAACAGTTAAAAAAAAGACGGAACAGTCCGAATTTGTTTAGATGCTCGTACTTTAAACAAGCGTATGGAAAAGGATTTTGTAAATCCACCCAATCCAAACGAGTTACTTTGCAATTTTAAGAGTGGAATGGTAGTAAGCACCATCGATCTAACGTCAGCCTATTGGCAAATAGGAATTAAGCCGGAACATACTAAATATATAGGATTTATTTATGAAAATGAGTCATACACCTTTAAAAGACTTCCTTTTGGGTTGTCTACCTCAATAGCTAGTTTAATTCGTTGCTTAAATTCGGTTCTTCAGGAAGATTCGCGCGACTTCACAGCAGTGTATGTGGATGATTTATTAATTTTTTCAGATACTATCAATGAGCATTTCAATCATTTGGAGAGACTTTTTAAGCGATTTCAATCTGAAGGGGTGACGGTAAAATTGAGAAAGTGTCAATTTCTTAGTAATCGAGTAAAATTTTTGGGACATATAATTTCAAGTAGGGGAATAGAGATGGATCCCACACGTGTTGAGGCCATTAAAGACTTCCCCGCACCACGTAATATTCGGGAACTACGCGGATTTCTGGGATTAGTGAACTACGAGCAGCGATTTTGTAGTAAATATTCTGATTTGACTTTGCCTTTGTTAAGGTTGTTAAGAAAAGGAGAGAAGTGGTCATGGGGAGTAGTGGAAAAAGAGACATTTAACGCTATAAAGGACAGCTATATTGAAGCTACTATGGTGGTACATCCAGATTTTAAAAAGGGGTTTTATGTTCAATGTGATAGTTCCAATTACGCGGTGGGAGGATGTCTTTTCCAAAAATCAGAAAACAGTGAGAAGGAGGTCATAAGTTATACTTCTACTACTCTAAAGGGTAGTCAGCTGCGATATACTACTACAGAAAAGGAGTTATTGGCCCTAGTGCATTGCTTGAGGCAGTGGCGCACATTGTTATTGGGTCAGGAATTAATTGTTATAACTGATCATAAATCTCTCTGTTTCTTGATGACGTGTAAGTTAAAATCAGCCAGGCTATCTCGCTGGATACTTCTTATACAAGAATTTGATTTCAAGGTTGAACATTGTCCTGGGGTACAAAACAAGGTAGCTGATGCTTTATCGAGAAATCCTCCAAATAAAAATTTATTTTTGACACCTGATAGGTCGTCTAATATTCATATTATGGTGATGGGGCTGTCAGAATGTTATAAAAATTTACAACAAAATTTAAAATCCATGCGTGAAGATCAACTAGCGGATGAATGGATTGGAAAAAAAATCAAGTTGTTAGAACAATTTAATAGAGAGCCTCGGGTGTTTTCGGACAAGGAGCACCAACTATTTTTATGGTTCCGGGTGCATGAAGATTTGCTTTTTAAAAGAGGGGACCCTGTAAATCCAGGGTATAAGTTGTGCGTTCCTAAGAATCAGATTCGGGATCTTATAGTCGCTCATCATATCGGAAATGGTCATTTTGGCCGAACGAAAACTTATAGTCAGATGAAAGAAAGCTTTTATTGGCCGAAAATGCAGCGACATGTTGGTCAAATAGTGGCTGCTTGCGATCTTTGTCAAAAGTCTAAATGTTTAAAAATAAATAAAGGAACTTTACATTCTGTATTGTTGGATAAACCTGGAGATCTAGTATGCACAGATTTAATA